GCTTGATAAATTCAAGCAGAGATATTCAATTAAAGAATATAATAAACATGGAGAATCTCAAAGTGCACCTATTGAACAGATTCCTAGAATGAGAGAAGAATTGAAAGATGTTCTTAAAAATTACAGAAGAGAGGATATTTTTAATTGTGATGAGACAGGCCTTTATTGGAAGATGGAACCAACCCGTGGATTATCAACAGCCCCCATTTCAGGCTTAAAATTAAATAAAGAAAGAGTAACAGTATTATTGACTTGTAATGCAACTGGTACTGAAAAGTTACTTCCTTTATTTATTCATAAATATGAAAACCCTCGACCATTAAGAGGGATTAAAAAAGATACATTGCCTGTTGAATATTATTGGAATAGTAAAGCATGGATGCAAGTTTCTATAGGAATGATTACTTAAAAAAATTGGATGATAAAATGCACACTGCAAATAGGAATATATTATTACTTATTGATAATGCACCAACACATATTTTAATGGATAATTTAGATTTAAGAAATGTAAATTCATCACTTTCCTCCAAACACAACTGCACACTTGCAACCATGTGACGCAGGGATAATTCATTCCTTTAAGGTCTGTATTTCAAACAATTTAAATTATTTATTAAATTATTTGTATCAAATATATCAAATTATTTATATGTATTTATATTTACAGTCAAATTACCGGTAATTATTTATTGCAAGGAAGATTAAAATTTTTGATAAGAAACAAAATGGTTTAAATCCAAAAGAAATTGATGTTAGAAAGGCAATAAATTTTGTCTCAGAAGCCTGGAAAAATGTTACATCAATCACTATCAATAATTGCTGGATAAAAACTGGTATTATTCCTTTAGATTATGAAGAACAAGTTGGAGATGCAACAACATTAATACAAAATATTACAAATGACCAAAGAGATGATGTTGATAATTTAATTGATAGATTAAATTTCAGTTCAGCATTAACAGCAGAGGAATATATATCAATTGATAATAATGAGAATAATGAAATGCCAACTGAAGAGGAAATTCTTAATTCTTTAGAGGAAGTTGAAGAGGAGGATGTTATTGTAAGTAGTACAACTATTCCTAATGTTTCAATAAATGAAGCTGTAAAAGCTTTTGAAACTGCTTTTAATTTTCTTGAACAAAATAATATACAAGCAGATTATAATGAATTAAAAGCTTTAAAATCATCGAAAAAAAAAACAATAAAATCATATAGTATTCAAAATTCAATACAAACAAACGTTACTAGTTTTTTCAGTAAATAATTGACTATTAATTAGCATTTAATTTTTTGTAAATTATATCAAGTATTGTATTAAGTATTATTTATTATATTTAAATCACAAAAAAAAATTTATTATTATTAAATTTTCCTCGTTTCAACGGATTTAGGTGGTCAATCCCATAGATCCGTTGAAACGAGGTTTGACTGTATTATTTATTTTCTTACGTTTCATATCAATGTTTCATTTTTTTTATAATAGCATTAACAAGTTGAAGTAATGTACTTTTCAATATATCATATAATATATAAATAGTTTATTAATATGAAAATATATTAAAAATTTTAAAATTAATACATGTATATGAATATCCTATATTATCAAATAAAAAGCCCATATCTAAATCATTTCAACTTGTTGAACTCTATTGCCATCCTGATTTGGTTATCCCAAATGATTCTTTCCTCCAGAAATGCACGACAAAGGCACAAACTATGGTAGATTGATTACAGGCTTTGTCAAATCGAACAAATGCAAAACTCCTGATTTTGGAAGCCTTGATGTTTCCCGACCTTTTCCCATATATATTTCAAAACATGACACGCAGTTTTATTATGATATTAAGATTGTTAAAACTTGACAATTGTGTCTAAAATCCCAATACATATAATGAATCATTGTACATGTTTATTATTTTATATAGACATGTTAAAACTTGGCAATTGGATTTTGTTATCAATTGAAAATTTCGAATATTTTTAAATTATTAATTGTAAACAAAATATTATAAAACCCGAATATGTTATGTGAATCATTATGAAAATTTATTTTGCTTAAATACACAAAAGTGATTATGATAATAAAATTTCGTTATTTTTATTTCACACTATTCAATTATTTTCGACGATCTGCAAAATTCCCCAATACTTATGGATAATAAATATTTCTATTAGATCATCTAAAACAACATAATTATAAAAGTATCTGTCTGTCATCCTCCCATATTTGATACTATTTTGAAGGAAAATTTTCAATTCCCTTAAGAGAGAAAGAAAGATGACGATCTAAATTCAGATCGTATGCATGTAAATGTTGATCAAAAATTATAAACAATTTGAAAAATTTGATCAAATAAAAAAAAATCTTTAAAAAATGTCAAATGAACTTAATGCTGTATATGCAACAGATGAGTACGGTCGCCCATTTATTATCTTAAGAGAACAACAAAGAAAGAGTCGTCTCTCTGGAACGGAAGCTATAAAAGTATATAATTTTTTTTAAAAATAATATACATAAATAAAAAAAAACACTTAACATTAATAAACAATAAATAGGCGCATATTCTAGCAGCAAAAACTGTTTCAAACATTATCAAAACTTCTTTAGGCCCAAGAGGTATATTAGATAAATTGATTGATTATTAGATTGATTTATATTTATATTTAGATTATATTTACAGTAGATAGATACAATTTGTATAATAACAAATTATTTATTTAAAGGTTTGGATAAAATATTAATATCGCCTGATGGAGACATTACAGTAACCAATGATGGCGCTACTATTTTGACTCAAATGGAGGTTGAACATCAAATAGCAAAATTATTGGTTCAATTATCTAAATCTCAAGATGATGAAATCGGTGACGGAACAACCGGTGTTGTTGGTAAACTTACAGTTTAAATCTTTTTGAGAGGAGGCTTTTTAAAAAAAACCAAATTCATTTTTTATCGATTAAATATTTTTTTAGTTCTTGCTGGTGCTCTTCTTGAACAAGCTGAAAATTTATTGGATAGTGGTGTTCATCCTATGCGTATAGCTGATGGATTTGAAAGAGCATGTAAAGTGGCTGTTGATCATCTTGATGAGATTTCTGATGTTGTAGAATTCACAAGAGAGAATACAGAAAATTTATTTAAAACTGCCATGACAAGTTTAGGTAGTAAAATGTAAGCAATATAATAATAATAATTATATAATATATTTTATTATCATATTTATTATGTATTAAATATGGACTTACCTACTTGCAATTAGAGTATCAAAACATCATGAGCAATTTGCAAGAATTGCAGTTGATGCAGTTTTATCAGTAGCAGATTTGGAGCGTAAAGATGTTGATTTTGAATTGATTAAGGTTGATGGCAAAGCTGGTGGTTCACTTTCTGACACAACTTTGGTGAAAGGAGTTGTCGTTGACAAAGATATGTCACATCCACAAATGCCAAGACAAATCCGTGATGCAAAAATTGCAATCCTAACCTGTCCTTTTGAGCCTCCAAAACCTAAAACTAAACATAAATTAGACATCACATCAGTTGAGGAGTACAAAAAATTGCAAACATATGAAACAGAAAAATTTGAAAATATGATTAAATGTGTTAAAGATACTGGTGCAAATTTAGTTATTTGCCAATGGGGTTTTGATGATGAAGCCAATCATTTATTAATGCAGAATGATTTGCCTGCTGTTAGATGGGTTGGTGGACCAGAAATTGAGGTATAAAAAAGAATTTTTTTTTTATATATAATATATATATATATATATATATATGATTAATGTATATATATTAATATTTTTATCAATTCATTAGTTAATTGCAATCGCAACAAAGGGTAGAATTGTTCCACGTTTTGAAGATCTTAAACCTGATAAGCTTGGTAAAGCAGGCCTTGTAAGAGAAATTTCATTTGGCACAACCAAAGATAGAATGCTTGTTATTGAAGAATGTTCAAATTCACGTGCTGTAACTGTATTTGTTCGTGGCAGTAACAAAATGGTATATATATATATTGTTCTTGATTGATTAATTAAATAATTGATTAATAAAATAAAAATATCATTATATTGTTGTTGACATTATTTGTTATTTTAGATTATTGATGAAGCTAAACGAGCTATTCATGATGCACTCTGTGTAGTTAGAAATTTAGTCTGTGATAATCGTGTAGTTTACGGTGGTGGTGCAGCTGAAATTAGTTGTTCACTTGCTGTCGCAAAAGCAGCTGATCAGGTAAATATTTAATATTTTTGAAGAAATCTTTTTTTTTCAACTAAACATTAATTTTTTTTTAAATAAAAAAATTAAATAAAATAGATTTCATCAATTGAACAACATGCAGTTAGAGCTTTTGCTAATGCATTAGATGCTACACCTTTGGCTCTAGCAGAAAATTCAGGGTTGTCACCTATAGAAACTTTGGCTGATATAAAATCACGTCAAGTAACTGAAAATAATAGTAGACTTGGTATTGATTGTATGAACAATGGATCAAATGGTAAAAATATAAAAATAATTTTTGTTGATTAGATTTTTTTTTTTTAAGAAAAAGAAAAAAATATTTATAGTGAAATTTATTTGTTTAAAAGATATGAAGGAATTATTTGTATATGATCCATTCATTTCTAAACGTCAACAATACCTTTTGGCTACACAACTTGTAAAGATGATTCTCAAGATTGATGATGTAAATAACTAATTATTATTATTTATAAAGTTTCTTCTATTGTTATTTAAGTTTTATATTTTAACTAATTAATCATTTATTTTTTATTTGTGCGTTAAAATTAGGTTATAACTGTTACTGCTGAAAATTAACATTAATAATAATTTAATAAATAATTGTTTCCTTTTGCTTAATTATTTTATGTATCAATCAATATTTTTTATACTTGTTAAATTAATCAATCAATAAATGATAAATTACTATTTTATGACTTTTTGAATTGTATCTATTCTTTGTGGTCCTCCCTATTCATCATTGACACCTTCATCTCATCTTCACCTTTGCAATCAATGAATCATCATTAGAGGAAAATGATGAGTTAAAGTAATTAGAAAAGAACATCGACCATGAAAATGTAAAATATGATGTGGATATTTGAATTGAGGCCTTGATAAACTGATATCCACTTGATAAAGTGAAGACTGTATAGTCAAAATTAGGATATATATTTAATTTTACAATTGATTGAATATTAATAATTTCATTGTTATCATTATTATTACAAAGATCTTCAGTTGTGATCAACTCCCTTAAAAGCTTTCATTTTATCTTCCTAATGCTAAATAGACACATTTAGAGTGAATATAACACCCAACATTGATTGATTTGGAAGTATCACATTCATTTGAATTGACAAATGGAAATCGATTTCCAAATTTGGTAAAATCCCTGACTGAAAAAAAATTTTTAACTCGTTAAACTTGATATACTGTACATATAAATCTAGCATATATTCAATACAGCATAGTGGAAGTTTGTTGTTACACGAAACGTTATGCAGAACTTATTGCTTCTGAAACTTTGCCATTATATAGTTGTTACCTCTCTAAATTGGAGATCAAGTTCAGATCCAATTCAAATCCAGTTTATCACTTACTTTTTATTGCCAGAATGTTTGCCGTGTATTGTAAAGCTACGTTGCACAATATAAAAAATTAGTGTAACATTTCAAATTTCCACTATGCTATTCAATACCTATTTTTATCTGAAAAATTGTAGAAAAATTTTTAATATTAAGAGATGCGGATTTTGTTGCTAGTTTATCAGCATTTTCATTATTTCAATTGGTTCAGAATAATGAAGGGTTTTGTTTATCTTACAGAAGATGATAGTGCATCAAATTTATTTAATAAATTATTATTATTGTCATAGTTGGCACCAATAAAAAAATAAAGCGTATAAATATTTAAACTAGGAAAGCTTTCATTCTGATAATACTTACTCGCTAATGCAGAATAATGATCGACAATCTTTACAACAACCTCAACAACAATAACAACAAAGTGTTCAAAAAATAGCTTCTACTAATAATGGTAATGGCAAAATATTTATTTACCCAGTTCAAAGGATAGCTCTTCTACTAATAATGACTATACATGGGATGGTAATTATTTTGCCAAAACACAATACGTAATCACGAAATTAATTACGAAATCAGTTACGGGTGACGAAATCAATTACGCGTGACAAAATCAATTACGAATGACGAAATTAAATGACACCTATTATTTATCTCGTTATATTAGTATAATGACATAATTTGTCAACTTTTTTAGAATTATAGAATTTATTCTGTTATAACGACATGTCAGTATAATGTGAGAACCAATCAAAATCATTCTCATTTCTGAAAAAACATAAGGAAATAAAACTTACGCCGGGATCAAGATTGACCAGCATCATGGAAAATTCTGATCAATTTTGACCTGACATAAGTTTTAAATTTCTTGATAAAATTTTATGAAATAAAAAAAAATATATAATAAAAATAAAATTACAAAATCACATGATAATGATTCTCATATGACTTTTATATGAACTCCCGTTATAATGACATTCTTGTCATAATGACATTTTTTGCTTGTACGGAGAGTGTTGTTATAATGGGAGCGGCTTGTATAATGATATTTCCAATAATTAACTCGTTGTTATTCATAATTAATTTCGCCACCCGTAATTAGTTTCGTCACCCGTAATTAATTTCACCCGCAATACGGTAATTAATTTCGTAATTATGTTTTTAAAGAGGAAAATGGTAATTAATTACGATAATTACGTATTATGTACTTACGGTAATTAGGCAATTACCATCCCATGTATAGTGTTAACAACAGTTTGCATAGAAAATTTTCACAATAGTAATTAATTTGTCTCCCGTAATTAATTACGTAATTACAAATTACCTATTTACGGTAATTAGCTAATTACCATATCATGTATAATAATGACGAACAAGAACAACAAAGTATTTATCCAGTTCAAAGGGCAACTTCCTCTACTAGTAATGACAAACAACGACAACAAAATCTTTATCCAAAACTTTCATCAAATTCATCTGAACCAGTCACTTCTTGAAACAGATTTAGAAACAATGCCTTTCAATTCTTTCATAAGTTGAATTTTGATAATAATTTATATTAATTATGACACAAATTTAAAATATAAAAACGCGTAAATTTTATTATGTAGATCAGTACCAAAGATAGAGTTAATGAAATTTTCCTCATTGTACAATGAACAGGAACAGCTGATGAAATATTAATTTGGACAGTGCTGAAGGATTTATTTTAACAGATAATTTGAATTTTGAAAAAAACGCATTATTAAATTATTTATTTTGTGATAATTTGTAAACAAAAAAAAAAGGCTTATTTTATAAATATAAGCTAACTATAACAATAATTTTTCATGATTATTATTGCTGTCATCAGCAACATCATTATCATCCTTATTGTTGTCATCAGCAACATCATTATCATCCTTATTGTTGTCATCAGCAACATCATTATCATTCTTATTGCTGTCATCAGCAACATCATTATCATTCTTATTCTCATCAGTGGAAGAATAAGGGTGTGGTGGTGTGAAATAAGGTATTTTACCACGTAACCAATCATTCAAAACTACTTTTGCTACAGTATGAATATCCGGTTCACCTTTTTTTAATAATCTTCCTGATTTTTTAGCAATTTGTTCAAGAAAATCCATATGATCGACCCATTCATTTATCTCATATATACGTTGTAAATATACTTTACGAACACGTTCTAAAATGTTTGGAATATAATCTTCGGGTGTTTTAAGATTAGAAAATCTTACCTATAAATAATAATAATAATACAATGGTAAGATAATGAAATAATGATAACAGTGATGGTAATGGTAATGGTAATGGTAATAATGGTAATGATGTTGATAATTGATAATAATAATATATGGCATACATACAACTCCTTTTAGAACAATGTCAGTTTCACTATCTTCAAGTGAAGGTGGGACGATTCCTGGGCAATCAATCAAATATATTCTTTTCATCAAGGTGATATATTGCCAAACCTACCAAAGAAATTTTAATTATGATATTTTCTTTTAAAAAACTCAAAATTATCATATATATATATATACATACCTTGGTTTCTCCAGGAATTGGAGCAACACTGCAAACTTTTTTATTTCTTAAAGTATTGATAATTGAACTCTTTCCAGTATTTGGATAACCAATGAATCCAACACTAATTTGTTTCTTGTCAGAATGCAATGATCCAAATTGACGTAACAATTGTATTAATGAGCCTTTGCCAAAAGGATTATTAATACTTGCATGAAATGCTAAAGTTGGATATTCTTTTGATAATTGTTTAACCCATCCTGCCTTTATCAAATAAATAAAAATAAATGTATAATATTAAAATTATTGTTATTTTATATTATTTTGTTAATGATAATAATAATAAAATAATGTGTGTATGTATGATCCAATACTATGAAATGCAAAATATTTTAGTAATTATTGTTATTGTTTGCTTTCAACTTCTCTGAATCATTCGATTTCATTACGATTAGCTTAATACAAGTAATTCGAATGAAACCATAAATTTGAATCTGCCATATACGTAACGGGAAAACTCTTATTTTATTATTGACAATAAAAAAAGTAACCCTGACTGTAATATGGCATCATAAAAAATAAAAATCAATAATAATAATAATTACCGTAACCCATGTAGGAACAAGGTCACATTTGTTCAATAAAAATATCAAATGTTTATGATTTGATTCTTTTTTCAAATATTGTTCTACGTTTTTACATCTGGTTCCAATTGGATCACGAGAATCCAATACATGAATTACAACATCAGAAGAATCGATAACCTAAATAAGAAAATGATATCATCTTTTTTTAATTAATAAAATAATTATTATACAACTACTGCTACTAAAATAAGATTATTATTATTATAATAAATGATTAAAATACTTTATACAACTCATTCCATATACGCTTTGATTTTCCTTTTGAGAATACACTGTCACGAGCTTCTTCTGTCCAATCAGTTATGACATTAGAAAGAAGTGATGAGTCATTTTTTTCAGTGTATTGTTCTATTGATCCATTTGTGTTTGATGCTAAATCTTTTAAAGAATTTACATTTATTTTTGGACGCTTTCGTTGTGCCTTTGGACCAAAAGCATCTGAAAATTTTTCAGTCTCCAACATATGCATTCTTGATACCTTTGTTGGGTCTGTTAATAAACTCATTGGTAATTTATTTTGTCGAAGAAGAATTTGATATGGGTCATCAACTTTTGATCCTAAACTTTCACGAAAAGCTTCCAATTCTTTTTGTCCAATGACTCTAGTATTACCTTCATTTTAAAAAAATCTTTATCATTAAATAGTTGCATTATAAAAACAATTAATTCAATTAAAACTAACCAAACCATCTTCTATTTGGTTGAACTCTTCCGGTTACAGCCTTTTTACTTTGAAATGGAGCTTCTTTTACGATTTTCCCTTTTGCATTTCGTATTGCCTTACCCGATTTAATCATATTCATAAATTTTACTTTTTTAGCATCCCGATAAAAATTTTCACCTTTAACCTTTAAGTTGCCAGCACCGCCACTAGTACCACCACTTCCTCTCTTGACTTGTCCATTTCCTCCTTTCTTACTTTGTTCTCTTGCAATTCTATTTTTTTCTTTTTTGGCTTTTCCCATACTTTCAAATTAGATATTAATATAGTAATAGTAAAAATTTTTCATCTAATCGACGACATATGCAGAGTTTGTGTTACATTTTTAAAAGTTCAAAAATCTATTTGTAGCAGGATCAAAGAAAAATTTTCTTGGTAGGCTGGTTCATAAGGTGTAATTCACCCTATTAAATAACATATAAATATATTAATTATATACACATGTGTATGTATATATGCATTTTAATTAATTATAGTAATTGAAAAAACACTCCATTATATATATTAATGCTTTATTTCGTACTATGAAAATGGAACTAGAAGAAAAAAATAAAACAATTGAAAATTTAAAAGAGAGTTGGATGGTATAGGATTTATACCTAATAGGTATGTCATTATATAAATGTGCGTGTACACTTACCTATATATTCAATTATTTTGTTTAAATTATTATATTTTTCCAAAGTATTACAGGTAAGAAGCTTGTAGAGAAATTGAGAACATTACAAAATGAAAATGAAGAATTAGGCAGACAACTTCGACAAGGATGTGTGGAACAATATGAAGTGGAGATAGCTTTACAAAGAAAAGTTATCGAAGAGTTGAAAATTGCAATTAAAAGTATGGTGATTAATTTATTAAACATTAATAATAATTTCTTATAATAATAAATTTATGTATGATAACATTATATATATATATATAATAGAATCAGGAAAACAGTAGTTTTAGAAGAAGAGATGGAACGTCTTCAAGATCTTTTATTTCAAATGCATGCAAAAGTGAATCGTTATGAAAAACAGCATGGACCTTTGGAATCTGATAATACAACACTAATAGCATCAATAACAACAACAACAACAACAATAATAATAATAATAGTACTATTATGAATGAAATAATATCAATATTAATAATATTAGTAATAGTAGTAATAGTAGTAATATCAATATTAATAATAATATTAATAGTAGTAATATCAATATTAATAATAATATTAATAGTAGTAGTAAGAATAATAATAAATTTACTAGAGCCAGGCCTGAAAGAAAAATCAAAGAGATGATTTCTCTCCATCAACACAACAGATAGATGATGTTTGAAATCAAAGAGGTGGAGGGATGAGAATTAGCAAAAACTTTGATACAATTTATTTTATTTTTATTTTATTTTATTATTATTGTTATTATTATTATTGGTTTATTAGTTTTAGTTTATTAATAATACCAAATTATCATCATTATTTTTCTTAAAATAATAATTATAATAATAATACATATTATTTAATGATTTATATATTATAGAAAGAGAAACATATATTTATATTTATATATAGTTGGTCAAGGTGTTGGTTAATTAATTGGTTGGTTAGTAATTAAGATAACAATTTATCAATATGAGAATAGAAATTAACAAACAAACATACAAAATAATAATAATAGTATAATCAATATTATTGTACATATTCATATATAAACTTTTTTAAAAATTATATATATATATAGTATATATACCAAAAGAAAAGAAATATTTATATAATAATAATAAACAACCTTTTTCTTTTTTTTTCAATTATAAATATAATAATTGAAAAATCAATACAATTAATAATACAAATAAATCTTTTTAAATAATAACATACACAACATATTTATTATACATTCCTTGGACAAAAATATCTGGATACCCGTTTACATTAATTATCACAAAAGAAAGTAATAGTTTCACTACAATATATCAATTTACTCAAAATTGAATTAAAACTTTATATTTTTTAGTGATTTTTATCATAATTGACTTAATGATGGTAATTAAATAGCAAATTTTTAGTTTCCATAAGTTATTGTTATTATTCATTTACTCAAGAAAGAATACTTGAAGTGAAAAAATAAATCATTAGTATTATTAATTAGACTTGATATTTAAATGTATATTTTGGGAACTTGAAGCGAAGCTAGACAACTACACAGTGAATCTTGGTTTAATGGATAGTTTGGGAAATTTTCAAGAAACTGTTATCAAGAAGGTGTTAAACCAAGATTTTAAATTAGCATCTGCTAAATCGAGGACCACTAAACTGAGATTCACTGTGTATCTGTTGTGTGTCAATTTCAATTTAAAATCCACGCACAACATATCCATTATTCCCAAAAATTATGTGCACAAAATCTTTTCTGCACAAACTAAATCCCAATAAAAGAAAGGCCTCGCTTGTCCCTTTTTACAAGTAATTTTTTGTTTACAGATATTGCTATATATTATTGGCTTAATTTTTTATTTAATAATACATTTTTTTTAAAAAAATTTATTCTGATAGGATAAGAAGGTAAGGAGAAGAATAATCAAAAAATTTATTATGATGAATAGAATAAATCTAAAATTTCTAATCCATCATAATAAAAATATTCCTTACAATAATATAATAAATAAGCAGTAAATGCTAGTAATAAAAAACTAAAAAAAATCAATAAATCATTATCATTTTGTGAATCTTTAGGTTTCAATTGGGATGATAATGTACCAGAATTATATTTATCCAAATCTGGTAGATTAGTATGACACCATTGTTTAATCTATATAAATAATATATGATATTAATTTAATGCAATGATAGAAAATAACAAATGAAGAAAGATTAACAACAATAATATTCCTCTTCTCCTTACCTGACTACAGGCAACACTAATCTTCATAAAATTTGGATCTTTTGAATTATTCTTTTGAATAATTACCTTTGTAAATTCTATAAAAATATTTGCTACTTCATAAATATTTGTGGCTTTCAAAATCAACTAACAAAATATAAATATAGAGTCAGGCCAATTAATTATATATTAATTATATTAATTTGAATCATGCCAAAATTTTACCATAAAAAATGAATGAATGAACAAATGAATGAATCACCTTTATAGCTACACCTTTACGAATTTTAACTACACCTTTATAAACATTATAATTTCTAAATAACAAAGCCAAAGTTGCAATAGCCATTACTTGTGGGATGGCACAAAATGTGAAGACACTTTGATTTTTAATCTGGCTCATATAAGTTAGACATTGTGGTACATGTTCAAGAGAATTATGAATCATGGTGGATAAACAGTTTATAGCCCTTGTTTCATATCCAGGTTCTTTAAGATCTGATAAATCATTAACATATTGTGACCAGATTTCTTTAGGCCAGAATTTTCTATTCTCAAGAAGATCATCTAGATAGTCACGGGTGATATTTACTTTTTGTAAAAAAAGTCCCATTATATTTGCACTAATAAAAATTGAATAAATGATAATTAGATGATGATTACAATGAGAAAGATATATATTATATAACTTACAGATCACTATTTTTTGCTAATTCAGGACTTTCTAAACCACTTGCAACAAACAAACCATTAAGACCCAATCCAACCAATCCAGCCACATAGTGACAATATAAATCAAAATCTTTAATACTCATAACTCCATATTGTTCATGTGCTGCGTTTTTTGCATAATCAGCCATTCCATTACCCATTTTTTTGGTAATATCTGAAATAATATCTTGAAATCTATAATTAATTTATTAAAAGCTGTTCTTAACATATTTGTGCATGCATTTAATTGATTGATTAATTGATTAATTAATATTACTTTTTATCCAATTTCAAAAATTCTTCAATAAAAACATCATATTCTACCAATAATTCACGATCTTTCTCATTAGGCCCATCTATTATTTTATATTTTTTAAAACAAATGTTTTATTATTTTATCATTCTTATCATAACATACATACATTAAATCATATCAAAAAAAATTAACCTTACTTTCAGTAAAATTCCATCCTCTTTGGAAAAGAATTTCATGAAAGTTTCTTAGTAAAGGCTCTTTCTTTGTAATAGGTATTGTCATATCATCTTCAATTGTGTCAAGACCACGTAAAGCAAGATAAAATAAACAAATCTATATATATAATCAATCATCAATTTTTTTATTAATTGAAGGAATGATTATTTTTCTTTACTCAATTAAGAAAATTTATAAACATCCATTACAGCATCTCTTAACTCATCATCCAATTCTTGAATTACAGCAGCAAATGATCTAGAAGTTTTATTTAAGAAATAGTAACATTTTATTTTTGATTTATTTTCAGGTGGAATTTTGTTTATAGGTGCTGGTCGAAGTTTATATTGAATTAGAGCTGTCAATTCACTAGGATGAAATAATGATTCAATAAATATTTTAGCCATTATTATTATTATAAATATGTTTATTTTAAATATTACATAATACAAAAAAGCAAAAAAAAGATTAGAGAATAGAGTTAAAAAAAATTTTTTATATACATTACTCCATTAACAGCCGTGGATTCAAAAACCTATAGATACAATCGCACCTGTCTATTTATGGAAAGTCAAACCAATTTTTGTTTTATGGTGCGCATCGTTTTAGTTTACAGTCAGAACTCGTTAAACCGATGTACTTGTTTTGGGCTCAAAACATCGTTTTATCAAATATTCGTTTTATCAAGTAATCTTTGATAAGACGAAGTTAATATATTTTAAAAAAAAAATTCGGTTTAAAAAATTATACATCAAAGTTTACATATTCATCTATACTACGTTGATGCACTAGTGAACTTTTATATAATAAAATGCTACTTCTAACAGAACGAATACTAGAAATTTGCTTTGTTGAAATTTCAAATTTTTCTGGTGGGTAAGTTACAAAATTAAGAAGTGCTTCAGCACCTCTCAATGCTTCAGTTAAAGTAACTACAGGAGTTTCTATTTCTTCCTCTTGATTACCATTGTTAGATGTCAATGTGACTGTAGCTATGATTTCTTCATCTTCCATTACTGTTTCTTCTTCAACCACTTCATTGTCAATCGTAATATAATCAATTGCCATAATAGGATCGTCAAATGGTAATTTGTCAATTAGATGTTCCAGTTGTGATGATTCTTCTTCAAAATTATCTTGAACAGTTTCTACAATATGACTATCTTGTGATGATGGTGGGATTATTTGGGTTTTTTCCCAACAATTTTGAATTGTTTCGGAACTTACACCTTTCCAAGATTTTGCACAACATTCAATTGCATTCCAGATATTTAATGGAACAATAGGAGTCTCGAATTCTTGAGAAATTTCATATGCCTCTATACGATTTTGTACCAGTAATTTGCGATATTTGGCCTAATAATTAAATGTTAATACATTATTATTTTTTTTTTATTTTTATTTCCCAACTACATAATAATAAGATTAAAAAAACCTTAAACGAATTAATTATTCCTGCGTCGAGTGGCTGGAGATGTGCGGTTGTGTTTGGTAATAAATATTCAATTGTAACATGTGTTAAATTAAGGTCACGATTTGAATGAGTTGGTGCATTATCCACCAAAAGTAGAATTTTTTTGTTTTTTTGTCGCATAGATGTATCAAGTTTTTTTAAATAGTCATGCCATACTGATAATTGCATCCAGGCAGTCGAGTTCCAATAATATTCTACCGGAAAGTCCTCTCTTTGTTTTCCATTTAATGCACGAGGGTTTTTATATTTATGAATAATTAATGGCTTGATGTAATCATTACCTGTAGCATTACATGTTAATAGAACTGTAATGCGATTTTTCGATTTTTTGATACCTGATATAGGTCCCTGTGCCAAGGTCTTGGATGGTTCTAATTGCCAATATAGAGCTAGTATAATGTTAAATTTAAAATTTTTCATTAAATACCGTTTGTAAATAAAATTATTTACCAGTTTCATCACAGTTGTACACATTATCCAAATCATAATGTGAAATAATATTTTGTAATCGATCACGTTCAGATGGTAATAATTCTAATGGTGCACTATTAGCTTCGCCAGCTTTACTATATTGAGAAAAATTATGTCTTTTTTTAAAATTACTTAGCCATCCACCTGATGCTTTAAAATCTCGGAAACCTAACAATTCCGCAAAACATATTGCTTTTGATTGTAATACAGAACCATTAATAGTTAAATTTGCTTTAAGCATTTGTGTTGTCCAAAGAATTAATGCATCTTCTAGACCTGAATATTTTCCTTTGCGTAAACGTTTATTATGTGAATTGGGATCTTCTGGATTAATAGCAAGATATTCTGACTTTCGTTTTAATATGTCACAAACAGTATTTTCACGAATTTTAAAACGAATAGCAAGGTCTCTATTCGTTGGAGTAGGTTTTGATTGTTTTAGAACACATATTTCTCTTTTATCTTTCAACGTCAGTGTATTTTTCATCTTTAATTTTAGGGAACAATACGTACTACCACTACTGTAAATCATTTATAAAATTGTACAAAATAAAGCGAAGTTTCCTTCGATAAACCGATGTTATTCGTCTTATCAAGTTATAGTTTACTATATATGGAACCATATGAAAACATCGTCTTAAACATTAAAGTGAAACAATAGGAATCTTCGTCTTATCAAGTTGATTTTATTATAAATGAATTGGTAAACTAGAAAAACTTCGTTATAACAAAAATTCATTTTATCGAGTTACGTCTTATCGAGTTCTGACTGTATTACAGTCAAGTATTTTTACCAAATTTGGAAATCAAATCTAAAATTGGAACCCCCTTGTTGATCAATTCATATATGTTACAAACGATTTAACGTGACATGTCGTGCTTTGTGAAAAATAAAATTTTTAATAATAATCAAAATAAATTCTTCTAAATATATATTTTAAGAATCCACCGGGATCCACATAACTTTACATACTAGTTTTTTTTTAATACATAGGAGAATTATTGGCTTAAAATCCTTTTTTTTTTAATTTTTAACAGTTAGTAACATAAATGTTAGATCATTATGCTTGTATGAAGACATTGCAAACAAATATCTAGAAAGCCAGCTGATGCCATGTTGGTGCAAATTTTATTATTAAGTATATTCAGAATCACCATTACTATATTTATTCATGTAAATTAATTTGTTGATAACAATATACTTTTATTTAGGCTTTATTATTTATTTATTTAAAGGTAGTTTAAGAATACTGACTGCAACTTTGATAATGGTTGCAACCACCTTTACATCATATAAAAACGATTGCAATACCTAGTCGTAACTGCCTTTGCAACAACTTTGTTGGATTGCAAAATGGAGCACACTAAAGTAGTTTGGTATGCAAATGTAAGCATAAAACTCCAAATAGATTATTTTGGTGGCTATTGATTTCAATATATTAGAACTATTGTAATTATTATTTATTTTTATTATTATTTAACAGATTAGCAAGGAAATTTATATTTCCAATGATATTATTTTAAATTCTATTTTTAAAGTTCCTTACTTATCCATTCGTGGCATAGATTGATCTATTGGAGATTAAATGAAGTATGTTTTTCTGATGAATGGCAGCTTGATAAATTATTTAATAACGCCTTCAGAAGGAATAAAAATCATTATTAATTAATAATATGCTATATATTAGTTAAATAGCATTTCTGACATTGCTTGATCTTGGGTAGGCTTGTAGAAAAGTTAAAAATGCACATATTGTATAATTTTGGAAATTATATGACCAATTAATAAAGCTCCCGCCATGTTTTTCTTGTTTTTCTTTTCCTTTAAAAAGATTCAATGAAAAGATCTGCACAGAATTTAGCCAATTAGAATTTACTTTCATAATGTCGATGATTACAGGGTATTATCCCTGATTGAATTTAGCCAATCAGAATTTCTTCTAGAATTTTTCATACCGTCGATCATTACGGCATTTAGTATTTCCAAATTTGGCAAAATACTTTCTGAAATCAATATCAATATATACACTTGATTAGGGATGGGGCGGTTCCACTAGGGAACCAGTTCTGAGAGGTTCTGAACCGAACCGAACACAGAACCGCGAACCGGTTCCAGAACCGAGTTCTAACCGTTCACCATGTGATTTATACCTATATGAGGAAATCCTGAGTTAATCTTTCCTTAAAAGGAATGATTAATACGAATAACGTGACTTATTAATATTCAAATAAATTAAATTAAATATTATTATTATTATTATTATTATGTAAATAACGAATAAACGGACAAACAATGAATGAATATGATAGATATTAATATACAAAAAAAAGTGCATAAAATAAAACAAACATTGATGATTTTTTATTAGTAATTAGTATAGAATTACAAAAAAACATAAAGAAAGTATAAGGAAAAAAATATATAAGTAATTTCGAGAATATTATTCTAGCACTCTAAACCCCTACTTTATTGATTATCCAACTCTTCATGCTCTTGCAGTTTCTGGCAATAAGCAATTCCGCACCTTACTGATTGTATTTCCAGCAACTGAGAAAGCACGTTCTGATGGAACATTGGTTGCTTGTATTGTAAGATAATCCCATGCCATTAAGATAATTTCAAAAATCTTTTTACAATTTGCCAAAAGACCATTTTTTACAATTCAAAAAATCTTTTTACAATTCATGCCAAAAGTCTATTTTTTTATTTAAATGATCTGTTATAATTTCAAAAATCTTTTTTTACAATTCACCAAAAGACCATTTTTTACAATTCAAAAAATCTTTTTGCAATTCATGCCAAAAGTCTATTTTTTTATTTAAATGATCTGTTAAGATAATTTCAAAAATCTTTTTTTACAATTCACCAAAAGACCATTTTTTGCAATTCACGCCAAAAGTCTATTTTTTACAATTTAAATGATAATGTCAAAAGTCTTTTTTTACAATTTGCCAAAAGACCATTTTTACAATTCATGCCATAAATCTATTTTTTTACAATTCTTTTTACAATTCACGCCAAAAGTCCATTTTTTAAAATTTAAAATGATTTATGTCAAAAGCCTTTTTGCAATTTGCCAAAGGACCATCTGTTAATATTAATTAAAATTATTTGAGGTCAAAACCAATTTGCCATATTGGAATATTTTAATATCCGTTTATGTCATTTTCATTTACCTTCCTTCATTCCTATTGGTCAATTTAGTGATTGGCAAAACAAAAATAATCGTCAACATTAAATGGACAATGACTAGATAGTATCTCATAGACTGTTTTCATATTAGGAAGTAATACCCTTGAAGAAAATTTTATATGTAGTGAAAATTTTCAAAGAAAATTAGTTTTGACAAGAAAAACAAAACTAGATTATAAACTAACATATAGAAGGTAAAGAAATAATATATATAAAACACACATATATACACACATATATACAAACTATTATTAAACAACTATTTTTTTATATTATTTCAAAGATGACAATTCTCAAAGAAAAAAAACTGGAAAATAATATATATTATTTACATATATATATAAATTATTATTAAAAAATTATTTTTATTATTTTTTTCAAAGATGACAATTCTCAAAGAAAAACAAAACAAAACTGAATTATAAAATAATATATACATATATATATATAACCATTATTAAAAAATTATTATTATTATTATTTCAAAGATGACAATTGTAACAATCTTTAATCTTGATTGATCGGTAAAATAATTCTAGTCGAAATTAGGCCATACCATATTTGGTAATGTAGAAAAATTCGTTTGTTTAAATTCGCTATTACTAATTTGGCAATCGGGATTATTGCGTTTTACTTCGAAGAATTATGAATATTATTTTTCCTTGAATTATTGATATTTTTATTAGGAGTTTTGGCGATGGTGTATAATGATTATTATATTATTATTATTTTTATTATTATTATTATATTATATTTATTATGAATGTTATCTTTTAAGATTAATACTTTCCGGGAAGTCTATAAGCTTCCATACAATATAGAGATTATAATTTTATTTATTTCTTTATTTCTTTCATGATCTATATTTGTATTTTAAGAATTGTAATTTTATTATTTAAAGAATCAAAATTCGAATAAAATAAAGATAACTTTTTAATTTAACAACAATTAAATTATCTGTTCATTAACATTGTTTAAATAATTAAGTGATAATTATTTGAACGTTTACAGCATTAATCTACATAAATGTGGAGCAATGTTTATGGTCTTTTACATGGCATAGTGATTGGCAATTATTGTGAGATTCTTTGTCATGATATATTATTATTAATATTAAATAACTATAAGAAGTGTCAGAAGATAAAAAAGCAACATGACCATTAGAGATCTATCTTTTCTTATGGATCAGTTGAAATTAAGAAAAAGATAGCAATGATACCACTTGGAAATCCAAGAGATTTGGGCAGTTGTATTAGTATGGAACAAGAGACTTAAAAATGGATAGTACATTTCTTGTCTGTTGGCCAGAAAATATTACATAAACCTGAAACATATGAACTGATTGATTTACACTATGCTTCAAAGGAAGCTAAATATCTTCAAGATATTGCAAACATGCAATCAGAGTTACTTACTTACTAGATAGTCCTTATTTCTGGCATATGGCTAGGTCTTACTTGCCCCGAATTATAGTTGATGCTTCTTTTATCTTACAATCCCTAGTCTGGATAAAAGACTCCTGATTTATTGTGTCCACTTATATTCCATGGCTTTTATTCTTCAACTATGCAAAAACTCGTAATGGGTTTATTCTATTATTAACTATATGTTGTTTAGACACCTGCCACAATTAGATATTTGCAGCGGTGGTAACTATCATATAATAGTTACCCTTGATAGTTACCATTATAAAATATTTATGGCTGTCGCAAATAATTGCGAATTTTATTTTAGTTCTCTTGACGAATATGACTAACAATACTAATGAAAATAATTATAGGGCCCCGTCCAGTCTACCGACAACACGCGATGTGATATTTTAACATTTTTGATTGTGTGGAGGTTAAAAGTAACTCTGTTTGTTGTCGGCGAAGTGTCCTGTCGGTGAAGTGGGTGTTGGTAAAGTGGCCCAGACCCTAATTATATTAAATCTTGAATCTATTTGCAGCAATGATAGCTACCAGCCCAATCATCGACGACAAGTGTCTTTATGTGTCATACTGGTAGATTAATTTGAACCTTATAATTCCGCATTACACTTTATCTTGTTTCGTTACAGTATGCCCATATATAGGAATAGATTTTATATATTAAAGAAAAACAAGAATAACGAATGAGATATTAATATCATGTTAATAGTACAATGGTGATATCAAATAGTTTTAATTACTGAAATCCTTGGTAGTATAGACGTTCAAAATCTATACGTCACGTGATTTGGCATGATTTTGCCGGAAATTTTGTGAACATAATTAATACAAAAAATTAATAAAAATCACGTAAAATTACAATTATTGATAGTAATATATAAAAAACGACATTTACTTTTTTGGCTTCATTTTCCAAAAATTTTTTCTGTAACTTTATTCTTTTGATCAATATCTCTACCAATTTACATATTTTTATGAGTCTCTGAAGCCTTTTAAAGATAGCCCATATAATAAAACACAGGAAAGAAAAAGATTTGCCAACATCTTATTAATAACCAATAGTAAATCCACATACACACAAAACTTTTAATCGTTGTCATTGTATGATTCGATTGAATCAATTAATTCAATTTCAAATTTTTGCCAATCAATTTTTATACATGGATTTGAAGAAACAAGTTTTTTTACTTTCAAAGTTAAAGGATGCTTTTCAAATTGATCCATTGTATAAGAAGGAAATTTATTACAGACTCGTGATATGATAAAACCCAGGTTTGTTAATTGGATGTTGTGCTGCACTTTCAAACATTCGTTAACCCATTCAAAAAGAATAAGTGATTGATCTACAAATTGTTCAGCTTCTAGTTTTTTTTTTGCTACCCATAAATTTTGATTAGAGAAAAGTAAACTATCATATTCAGCTTGTGTTTTCATTATTTGGGTGGGTAAATAGTATTTTGTTTTTGTGGTATCTAAATATGGTATTACATATGGTGTACAGTCAATCACACATTCATTTCTCGCCCACTCACAATCCAGCAATTGTTTTCGACTTGTTTAATAAATAAATGAGATAAGATTAATATTTACATCATGACGAATAATAATGATGACTAAATATTATTGCTTGTTATTATTACCTTTTAGCCATGTATTGCAAACAATCTTTACAAGATCTTATAAAATCAACCCAATAAATTTGAATAGTTTTGTCTTTTCTTTTACAAATCTGACAACCCTTTTGAAAATTCAAAATCATGGCAAATTGTTTTTCTGTTAAATCAAAAGGTGGATCCATATGTTTGAATGGAGTGAAGGTTTCGCGCGAATGCTTCCAAATAATTCTGGCCATTGGAAAATACTTTTCACCTAGCATAATTTTAAAATGTTTACAAACACACATCAACATTGAAATATCTTGAGGCGATAAATAGTAACAGA